CCAGGTTTGTTAACGTGTGGCCGGAACCCATCCAGCCGCGGCAGCACCTTCCTTCCAGCTCGGTCCCTCATCAGAGTTTTCTGGGCGTTTCGACTACTCCCGACGCTCTCTCCCCTACCGCGGATGTGGATGATTCTTCTGCCGATATTGATCTAACCCTCCGCCTGTGAAGCAGGACGTTTCTCTTTCTCTTAACTTCTTTCTTTTTTTGTTCCTGAAACGAAATGGAACAAGTTAATGGGATTTGATGAGAATGAAAGTGCTTAGGGCTAATGGGATTCTTGAATCTCTTGTTTGGTGTTCGTTTCCATATGTTTATGGGTTTTCAACTTTTTTCTTTTTTTTTTTTCCTCATCTTACCAAGTGTAAAGTGAAGGATGATGATGATGTATGTTAGTTCCCTCAGCTTTGTTCTAATATATCAAAGTAGTAATTAAGTAGCATTTTATGATATATAGATTGCATGATCTTGATTATTTCTTCTTTCTCGGTCTGTTGTATTTCAAACCTGCGGATTCCAACTTCTCTCTTCATTTCTATTTTTCTTTCTTTTTTGTTGAAGGAACGAAATAATAAAAATAAAAAATTATGTGTACTTTTTGACAGTTTTATTAATCAAATGGGTTTTTGAGTTGGATGATGAAAGTTTGTTATTATTATTATTTTTTTTTGAAAAACATGAGAAAAGAAAAATAAATATGGACTTCAATTTGCCCCATCAACTGAAGAAGGTTTTTTTTTTTTTTAAACAGTTGAATATCTTCAAGTTAGTTTTCACATATAATAAGATTAATTTCTTTATAGTGCAATTAAAAACATGCCATCTATATCGAAACTAAGAAATTCGTTAAAAATTACTCCTGTAATCTCTTTGAAAAATCAAATCTTACTCAACAAGTCGGCATAATTGCAACTATGTTCATTGAAATATGACAAATGAACACATCTATTTGCGTTAAGAGAATAATACGCATTATAGCTATTGTAGTTCATAATGACCTTAATTTTACCATATGACCTTGCCCTAACAATAGCACAACCATGTATGTACATGACATACTATAATCTCTACCAACAAGAGCGTAGCCAATACATTATTTATTTTAAATTTGATCAAATATAAGTATATCATCATTTACATTTCATATCTCGATTTTACACATAGATTTCAAATTATCTTTTTTTTTTTCTTTTTTTCTTCTTTTGAGCGTGTAGGGCACATGTTTAAGGACAAATTTTTTTAATATTAATTGGCTTTAAAAGATTAGAATTGATCTTTATTTAATCACTTGACTAATTAAAATAATCTATAATTAAAATAATCTATGACTTTTTTTATTATTTTCAATACAAATTAATATCAGAATGATGTATAACTACATGTTAATGGCACAAATTGAAAAAATCCTTCAAATTGTTATTTATAATTTATGAAAAACTATCTCAAGTCACTCTAAACAACCTCGGATTGAATCTTAGCAATGCCTAAAAGTAGTTTAGTCCTCAATTGCCATAAGTTACCTTAGATTTGAGGTGACATGCAGTGTCATAAATTTTTTATTTAATACTTTTACAAACTCAAATATAGAAAGGCTATAACTAGACCAAAAAGACTGAAATTTACTAATGACCTTTTTTCAGAGTTTAAATATAATTATTTTTATAGCTGTATCATATAATTTCTAGAAGAAATTATGCGTATTACAAACAAAAAAATGATGCATATTAAAGTTTTAATCAGTGTCAAGTTATACAAATACTTGTTAAGTTACTCCCAGGGGATTCAACACCACTCAATAACAAGATTGATTAAAGGTCACAGGAAGGAGCTTGAGAGTTGGAACCATGTGTGGCCTGGTTCATTAGCCGGGGTACAATATTCCTGTATGGATCTTCTTCTCTTTTCTGCTTCAAGTAAGCAATGCATCTATGTAAATACAGTTGATAACATTTCTCCCTATCTTTCAGTTCTTGCTTTCTTCCTTTTATATAATAAAACCAAACAAACAGATTTTAACGTTTCAATTAAAGCCAGCCATGAACCAAAACATAAATAAAAAATTTACTCCATAAATTAATGTAAACAGACTATATATGGACATACCTTGGGTTTCAGTTGGTTTCCCAAAATCAAAATAATATATTCCTGGAAACCTTGGTGCCAGTCATGGTTGGTAAAGTTGTTGGTTTGACACCTCGCCATCTCCTTCATTCCTATCATTTCAAGATTACAAAAAGCTCATCAAATGGACATTGATTGCATTTTGTAATTTAAGACTCGATCAGAATATATACCTCAATAACACAGCCTCTTCTGTCAAATCTTCTATAAAATCCCTAAAGTAAGGTATCTTCGTTTGATCACTATAATAAAAAATTACTTCAGCAAAATCATCTGCTCCAACAACAACAAATGCTACTACTTTGGCTCCAAATCTAGCAGCCATCCTCACAAACCCTTGGACTTTTCTGGTCAAAATAACTTGTATGCTTTACCTTGGAAAAATTAATTAATCAATCTGCCTAGCTACCTAGAGTTGAGTTATCACAGCTGCACAATACTACAGCTAAATATTCAATATGTTACCTTCCTGTGAAGAGCAGCGCCCACCCCTCCAGGGAACAACAGGCTATGAGATTTTGAAGACATAAGCTTGTAGAAATTTGTTCCTGAAACAGGAACTGCGCCCATTAATCATATTGAGTCAAAGGTTGATACATCAGGTAACCTACCTTCTCTCAATCTTTCAAACAGCAATGGATGTGCTATCCCTCGCAAGAGGATATTTCTCTGAGTAAGAAATTCAGATACCAAGGGAATAACTTCTAGTCCCAGTAACATGTGATAACCAACGTACAGGACAGTTCCCTCCAATGGAACCCCGGCAAGGCCCTTCACCACCTTCCCATCCTTGGTAGTTGAGAGCATCACAGAGCTAAGAGCAGCATTTAACCATCTATCTAGGAACAAAGTCAGTTGAGAAATCCAGAATCAAGACTTATATGTGATGGCACTGCAATTCAATTAAACATATATAAAATTCCTATGATGAACATGATAAGTGTCCAGTTTGACTGTCATCAATATTCCACTAATTAATCTTTGACCTAATATGCTCTTCTTTTGACATAACAATAATCTCTCGTTATTCTGCGCCCTCCTCATGACACAATACAACCGGTATGTCTCTAGCCTTTTGGTACATGATTGACATTTGCTTTGTCCAAAGATGCTTACCTATTTGATTCATATAACTTCTAGAATTCAGGAAGTGTAGGTGGCATGTAATCTGAAAATAGTCATGGTATTTTCCACAACGATTAAAGCTAGTTCCCTTGATGATTGTTACCAAATCAGTACCACCTTCCTGCATGAGAGGCCAAAACAACTATTTTATAACATCACAAAACCTTATAATCTAAGATGACAACTAGACTAAGAATTAGGACATAAAAGGGAAAAAAGTGAAACTTCAAATGCTCAAAGGAACACCCTCCTCCTCTCAAGACCTACAGTTTGAGAGAGACATACCAGGAAGAGAAAATGGTGGCTTTCATCAAACTTACCAATCTCACAATTTGGGAGTGCATGGCGTAGTCTTTCACCTTCCTCTTCACTTGGAAACAATTGATCTCTTCCACTAGAAAACAAATGGTTAATTCAACCAAAGATGATTATGAGGATCATAAACTTCAAATTTGGACAGTCAACTTTGTTGCAGTGCTGCCCTAAACAGATGGCATTATAAGTTACATTACATTCGTCTGAATGACAAGATGCTCTTCAACATAGTTTGTGACAGTGCACATATTTAGGACTGTGATGATAAAAACTGCAAGTAAACATCTTTTCTTTCATTGTAACAGTAGAGAAGTAGGCATCATGCATTTTGGTTAAGAAGAAATATTTTTCAATCTTTCTTCGTTTATAATCTTTGATTCTGCCATTTTCAGTTGACTGCTTCTTTCAATAATTTTGTTTTCCTAACTTCATTTTTCTGTTTGGTGCATTAGCTGGTAAAGAGAACCTCTAGTTTAGACAAAGCCATTTAATATTGATCAATAGCTCTTCAAAACTGAAAGTGAAATCATCATATTACCTGCAAAGTAATAGCACTTCAGCTTTTGTGGCATGGAGATGAGAGTTGGAATATGCAGAAGCAGATTTCAGCATTTGTAGCTTCTATTCGAGCAATTCTTTGGGTAAGATTTCAACCAGAACCTGTGACTTAAAATCATCATTTATCTTTCTACAATTTGCAGCATGTAAATGAAAATCAGAATTTCTTCTTAATATGAACTAAAGAAAGATGTATAATGCACTCTAAAACACAGGAAAAGAGGTATATATGCTGATTTGCATTTACAGAGGGGTTAGATAATGCAGCAACAATATCCTGTGACAGCTTTCCAACAACAGATTGTCCCAGAGGAATGCCCTTCACTACATTATCCATCAGCATCCTCAAATGGTCACCTAAAGAAATGATTGACAACTATAAAAGTTAGAAACTGCAATTAATATGACAATCCAGACAGCATAGCCACCTACGTTTAAGACATACTTCTCTTAAGATGCAAATAACAAGCCAAGAAAACAGAAGTTGAAGACCAAGGCAGCAAACCTGTGGTTAAGGTTAACATGGAATTTCTTGCCAAAAGAAAGAATTCATCTGGAATGCTTTGTAGTAAAGGTAGAAGAGGTTTCAGTTGTGACTTGCCAAAGGATGTAGCTGTGAATACAAAAA